TCACAAAATATCTTTTCATAAAAACGGACCCTTCACAAAATATTTTAACTTAAAAACGGACCCTTCACAAAATATTTTAACTTAAAAACGGACCCTTCACAAAATGATTTTTCTTTTAATCGGACCCTTCACAAATTTGTTTATCTTCATTATTATTTTGTTAATCGAATAAACCCTTTCCAGGGCAGAAAACAAGAAAGATGGATGTAAACGAATTAAGTTTTGTCTTCGGCAGACGATTCTTCCATTATTCGTCCGAAATTAATATTCTGCGTTCAGCAGTATAGGCTAAATACCAAATATTTGTATGTTGCATCTCTAATTTAGAAGCAGCAATTGTTGTTTATTTTTTAAAATTTAATTTTTTTAATTATAATTTTACAGTGTTGAGCATAATCTTGTATGTCTTTACAATTTAAAAACTCCTTGAAAAAGTTTTTTTTTGCAATACCGGACCCTATTTCCACAAATTCATAAAAGCGGACCCTGGTTGAAAGAATGTGAGTAATTTTTTTCACAATTTCACGAAAAACGGACCCTTTACAAAATGTCTGGACAGACCCCTGCTTCTGATGTAATTAAAAATTTTAAAAGAAAGAAGGTGCTGTATAGCACAAAATAAGGAATTTTGGAGGGTCATGGATTATAATTTTGTTAATATTGAATTACAACGCTACTTTAATCACAGCGTTTCTTCCCTTCCTTTTAAATTTAATCACAGCACTAGTTAAATCACAGCGTTTTTTCCTTTCTTTTAAAATTATTTAGTCACCAGACACAATTTTGGAAGGTCTTTGGTATATCATTGTTCAAATTAAATTACAACACTAGTTAAATCACATCGTTTTTTTTTCCTTTCTTTTAAATTTAATCACAACGCAAGATAAACCACAATTTTGGAGAGTCTTTGATGTATCATCGTTCAAATATAATCACAACGCAAGTTAAATCACATCGTTTTTTTCCCCTTTCTTTTAAATTGAACCACAGCGCTTGATAAATCAGATTTTGTAATCACAATTTTGCTATATAGTACAAAAAAAAAAAAAGAATTTTGGAGGGTCTTGGATTATAATTTTGATCTTACTGAATCCCAACGCTACTTAAATCACAGTGTTTTTTTTTTAAAAATTTAATCACAGCGCTAGAAAAATCACAATTTTTAAGGGTCTTGGATTATAACATGGTTTAAATTTAATCACACTATTTAAATCACAACGGTTTTTCCTCCTTTTTTTTCTTTCAAAATCATTTTCTCTTCTTTTTTTTCTTCTTTTTTTATAATTTAATCATGTTTTTTCCTTTTCGCTCGTTCAATTTTTTTTAAAAACGAAATTCCTCAGTTTTTCAGAAATAGTAAATCTTTTAATTTTTCCTGAATTGTAACTGGCGACTACGTGCTCATCATTATAGCAACATCTCTTGTAGTCAGGGTATTTATTCCCAAAAAAACATTTTTTCTAACTTTTCATTTGATGTACAGTTTTAGTCTTTTCTGTTTTTTTGTATAGTCGTTCAGTGTTTTCACTACAGCGCGAGAACGCGAGAATCTCGCCTATTTTTTTTCTTTTCTCGCAATAAAAAACGATTAACGCGAGAAGTTCGCGCACTCTATTAATCAATTTCAAAATGCACGAATTTTGGAAAAAATTTAGTCTTTTGCCATTTTGAATAAAATCCGTTTCACTTTTTGCGAACAGCAGAGGACCCCCCCCCCCCCCNGCCCCCCCCCCCCCCGAATCCCTTTCAGAACACATTTCTTTTCAACCACGTGTTCACCGTAGGTAAGGTTTCTTCATGAAAGACGTTTAAACTTTTTGTGCATGAATGTAAGATGGATAAATACCTTGTTAAGGCGACATCTTCTACTCCGTAACGCACAAATGAAAATGAAACAAACGTCGGTAGAAACGGTCAAAACGAAACAAATCCGGATATTTTTCAGCCAAATAAATATAACAGCCGATGAAAAAGTAGATATAGAACACTTTCCATGTGATGAGGCAGCAAAAATATTCAATTAGAAGATGTTAAAAATGTATTATAATTAAAGAAATAATTTTTTTCCAAGTCTATTCGTGTTTTTTAAATTTTTAGAAATCTCACTTAACTTTTTGAAATCTCACCCTGTTTTTGAGAAAGGGTGAGAAATTCTCTCCCATTTTTTTTCTGTAATGAAAACACTGAATATATATATAATAATTATATATATATTATAAATATTCAGGCAATTGAAAATATTTAACAGTACAACGTGCAAATTTTCTGCAACATAATGAGGTGCAAATTAGAACCAAAATATTAAGCGTTTCTTAATAATTTTACGGATCCGATTATAAGCTAACCATCCTGCCCCACTTTAGCTTTCAAAAAATTCTCATTCTATATTCGGAAATGTACGGTAGGTATAATAAAAATTATTAAAGTTTATTTTAATGTGAAAATTTTTTCGAAAAAATTTAAAATTTTATTTTATTTTGTAAAGTTAAAGTACCTGTCTAAAAATAAAACTATGGGACTGTTTCTAAAAAAATGTGGCTTATTACTAGGTTTCTCTCTTTATTATTCTTCCGAAGAAAATTCATGTTCTTTTTTACATTATTTTTAAAATAATTTATTTTATCAATTTTTACATAAATTTTATTAATATCTATTTTTATTTTTTAATAATATAATTCGTTGCACATAATAAAATTAAAAAGGTTTTTTTTCCAAAAAATATTTGAGAAGAATTATTTTTACTTTTTTTTACTCTTCTATTTAGCTGATATTATTTATTAAAAAAAAGAGATAATTTAAAAGATTAATTTATCATAATACATAATATTTTTAACCTTCGAGGTTTTCATCAACTTTTTTAACCATTCTATTCAAGTTAAGAAAAAAAATAATTTCTAAAGTAATCTTATTATAAATAAGTAATTTAAACTTAAGTAATCTCTTTCAGCAAGGTACATTCCTTTTATTCTTTATTCAAAAATAATTTACTGGAAAATTTTATATATATTTTTTTATGAAAAACTCGTGCATTAAGTACATTTAATTCATTTATAAAGTTAATAGTTCTATAATATAATTTCTCTAGCTTGCTTTTTTTTAATGAACCTACAGCGTGAGTGAAATTTGATTTAGCTTAGTTCCACGAATATTACTGCGTTGGTTTCCTTTTACGAGTCTTAATTTTTTTTACTTGCTAAATATAATTTTTTTGTCTACAGAATGAAATTTAGAATATATTTCTTTTTATATTTTAGATTGAGTTATGTTTGTAAAAAATATGAATAGCATGAAGTATTTCTTACAAAATAAGCACAGGTACTGTTTAATTGCTATGAGATCTAGTAATTTTCCCAGTCTCGCAATACATCTATTATTTTGAGTGTTTCATTTAAGGAGTGCCAATATTCACGCATGAAGTATTTTAATAGATAATACAGGTTTTTAATTAAAGATTGTTAATTTTTTTCTTATTCACGAAGTACTAACCGCTTCCCTTACTGATTTTTTTTTTTGAAAAAAAAATGCTGAGAAAACCAAAAAATTTTTTTATTTCATTAATAAATCCAAGAAACTAAAACAAAACAAAATACATAAGTTTTAAGTTGAAATTTAATTTTTTTTATGTGTGAAGTACATTTTATTTACCATCAGTTTATTATCCCGAATTATCTTGGGCAAATGAAAAAAGTTATATATTAGTCTTTGTATGACAGTTTCTAAAACGAGGGACAACTCAAAGTGATACTTTGCAAACATCAGTGAAGTGATACGCCATTTTTTTTTACTCTTTTTTCCATGTAAATTCTGCAACCATCGAATATACACAATCCCACAAAACACGTGTGCAGTCCCAATTTTGAACAGCAAAACTCCCAAACAAAACTTGGCAAACTTCCAATTACAGCAGATTATTATCGTTATTATTATTATTATTATTATTATCATTATTATCATGATTATTATTATTATCATTATTATTATTATTATTATTAGCATTATTATTATTATTATCATTATCATTATTATCATTATTATTATTATTATCATTATTATTATTATTATTATCATTATTATTTGCTTCCAACCGAGTAAAAACGTGATAATACTAAACGTACTGACAAATTCTGCTGCTCCTGAGTTTTCACTGGATAATAAATATTTGCAATATGTATATATACGTACCCAAGTTAACTCGGGATAACCAGGAAAGCGGTTTTAAGTATATTAGGATTAGGTATGGAATACAAATCGGAGAACTGGCACGGGGGTTCGTTGGCAGATACGCAATATTTTGTCCAATTTTCCAATGACCATTATTCATAAATATGGCTGAGTTTAGTTGATACAATCTCTATTTCCTCTTTCAAGGCGTGGGAGGTTAAGGGCTTGTTGGTATAATTCTAAGGCTTGGGAGAAAAAAAAGAAGGAAGAAGAAGATCTTAAGGTGTTAAATTGTATGTTCTAACTGGAAACTATATATACATATATATAATCGTCCTGAAGGATAAATTACACGAACAGAGAATCGCTAAGCAATGAAAACGCGTTGTTATTTTGTACAGGACTTAAAGACCATGAACTATCATCTGTCCGCTGTCTTATTCTTTTCATTAACAACATCGTAAAATTTGCTTGCACAAATGGTGTAAAATTCAAATATTGCTGAATTTTTTGATAACCTTGATTTGCCTCAATTGACTTAATTTGATATTTTCATGCGCAGAAGACTTTTAAGGAAATTGTTTGTTTGTTTTGTTTGTTAAGACGCCTAAATGTATAAAAGTTTTAAAGCTCAAAATTCCAACTTTAATTCGGGGTGGTCTAAGTACTTTTATTTTGGGTATCTTGCTGCCTTAAAAACGTGATTACCTTAATCTTCTGAAATGCTTGACAGTTTTATCCGGAGTGTAATAAATAATAATAATAACTTTTTATGTATTTTTGCCTACCTGGGCTTTTAAGTCATAAGCATTTAATTTATCCATGGCATTTTTTTACAGAGTATTGATGAGTTGGCAGAATATATGCGACAAGTTAAGAGCAGCTCTTATCTATTACCATCTCGAGATGTATCAACCGATGTAAAAGATGATAGAGAAATCAAGGATGCTGTTACCCAAACATCTCCAGCACCTCTTAGTCGAAGGTAATTATTCAATACAGCACAATATTGCCGATCCTACTGATTTAATCATTTTTACAATCAACTAATGTTTAATCTTTTTTCCAGTTCTAGTTTTACATGGGTGACTGATTGCGATTGTAGTGATTTCGATAAAAACCAGCACACGTCAGATGATGAAAGCCTTGCTCTGTCTAGCTGTTCCAATTGCAAAGTCGAAAATGGCAGTCTACACTCTTCGCCGTCATCGTCTTCTTTAGCTATTTCTTCTGATGATGAGGGGGAAATGCCAATAACTCCTGGATCGAATGGAAGCAGTTTGTATCTATCAGCATGCTCAGGTTCGAGCGACTCTTTTGAAGAAGCTCCAGTTACCATTGCTAATGAATATGAAGCGACCGTGGCACCTAACGAAAACGACTACACTGCACTGATTAAAAGACCTTTACGAAATAGCGAGTCTACTCTTCGAGGTTCTACATTGGGAGATATATCTGAAGAACAAGCTACTAGTGAGACAATATCGATGAAATCTACCAAGAGTAATCCTTCCTTAACTGATTCAAATGTTATGGAACCCGTAGAGCAACCAGCATCTTTTCCATCTACATTAAGACTGAGCCGAAAAAATCGGTCAACTAATAGTCCTGCTCAACCCATTGAGCCTACTATATTAATAATCAATGACCTTAACTTGAAATCTATATCTGCTCCAGTCCTCTTAAGACAAAAACGACATGTTGCTAACACTAAAACGTCAGAATCATCATCGAGTGATTCGTCTCCACCAACTGGTACCCGAAGTAAAGATGCTGTTGTTTGGACCCCGATGAATCAGGTGAGTTAACATATTTTGTTTACTGAACTAAATCCAAATGTTCTTCAAAGTTTGAAGAACCAAACCGATTTATCTTGTATTATATGGATAGAAATAAATTGTAAGCCATGTTTTAAAATTGTGTCGGAAAGCGCTTTTGGAAGAAGAAAAAAACGCGATTTACATGAGCAGTAAGATATTTCTGTGTAGTGTTTTGTTTCCAATTGGAAATTCCGAAAGTTGGAATCTGGAAACAATACTTCTAAAGAATTGTTTAATTTAAAAGTGTTAAATTTAGTGGGGGAGGGATCGTCAGAATCTTTGGGGGGGGATTCTCAGAAGTTTGCCTCAGAATCTTTAACATAATTAGTGCGTGATATCTGATCAAGTTATCATGTGTTATAATATTGGAGTATTTTTAACTGCATTTAAGAATATTTTATATATATATATATAAAACTTTATTATTTAAACATTTCACAAATGTCTTA